GGGTAAAATTTTTTAAGGGACTGAATTTTGTGGTGCATGGGAAAATTAGTGCCAAATCCAAATCAAACAATGTTTAGAAGAAAAATTGAAAATGTCTTTTTAATTCATGTTTTGAGAGTTATGGTGATTTTTACAGTCATGTTGTTGAATTTGTTTTTTTGTGATATAGCTCTTTAGTTATATATATATATATATGAGAAATTTATTTACATATAAATTTTATACATTATATTTATATTGAATTTTAACTATTCGTCTTTTTATTTTTAATAATTGAGATTTATCATAATTTTTTAATATAAAAAGATAATTATCTTTAAGCAATGTTATTGTTCCATCATTAATTATTTATATTATATTTATATTGAATTTTAACTATTCATCTTTTTATTTTTAATAATTGAGATTTATCATAATTTTTTAATATAAAAAGATAATTATCTTTAATAATTTAATTATTAAAAATAGAGAGAATAATGATTGAGATTTTATATAAGTGTAGTGTACAAAATTTGTATGTAAATTGATCTCTATATAATTTAAATTATAGTGTTTAACAATATAAATGTTTAAATTATGACATTAATGTCAAATCAATATTTGATAATATGTGCCAATAACTTAAGTAATTCAATGATAATTTTTTTTTACTATACATAAGATATTCTAAATTTAAATCACATAATATACAGATAAGGTGAAGTAAGGGAATTGAAAAAATTACTTCTTATTATGCAATCAAAATAAAATAAAATAAAAAAGATAACATGTAGATAACAATTCCTAAATGTGAACAAAAAAAGAAAGATAACAACTCATCTAAGCTACTTAATTATTAAATTACAAGATAGATTTGTTAGTAAATGCCAACTTGTTGTTATGTTTTGTTATGTTCATATTTGAGTTGTAAGACTAAAATTTAAAGAAATTTAATTTTTCTTTTAAATATTAGGTTGATGTAAATGATATATTCTTAATAGTACACGAGAAATGGTTAACTTCAAAGTGCAAATCAAACTAGAGACACATGATATCAAAATAATAATAATTTATTTTGGAAGTTATATGTTGATATAATTAGAATAATGTCAACGTGACTCGTTGGTCCTAACTCTTCTTGTAATGTTTGTTATTGCGTATTATATCATGAGTTTATAAATTTTTTTAGTTGCGTTGCTGTAAGAGAAAATGGAGAATTTCACGAGTAGTTTTTTTTTTTTTAAGTATTTAAATTTCTATTTTATAGAGAATGTAATACATGGTATCTATATCTATTTCCTCATGATCATTGCAAGTTGAATTTTAAACTTGATGCATGGATTGGATTCGAGACCTCTATATATATATATATAT